ACTAAGTATTTAGGAAATTCTCTGATTGGGACTTTTAAGTTGAGGGATCAAAAAACATCGAATAACATCCCTTAAAACAGTGGTCTCCAAACTGCGGTCCTGGGGCCAGATGCGGTCCTGTGCTTGCCTTTTTCCCGGTCCTTGGGGCACTATTTTATCCACTGATACCAACACTCAAGCATAATTCCCCCCATTTACACCAATGAAGAGAGCGCAACACCTTCCAATGACACCAGCGATGGAGCACAATTCCTCCCAATGACACCAATGATGGGGTCCAATGACACCAATGATGGGGTACAATTCCTCCCAATGAAACCAATGACGGGGTCCAATGGCACCAATGATGGGGTCTAATGGCACCAATGATGGGGCACAATTCCTCTGACTAACAACAAACAATAGGGTATTATTTTTTCCCACTGACGTCGGGACCTTTTGTACTCCAGCTGGCCACAATCCGGCCCCCCTAAAGTCTGAAGGACAGTAAGCTGGCCCTTTGTTTAGAAAGTTTGGAGTCCCCCACTCTAAAATATCAGTCGATTTATTCACATAATTAAAAAGAACGTTTAGGAATAAAAATACATAGTCAGCCTTCTCAGGGTTGTTTCGGTACTACATGTAACAAAGAGGCGGGGCTTTTTTTCTTAGAAAATAGTTGCAGGTACTCCCCCTTTGCCCTAGGCAACACAAAAATTGGGCACCTCCCCGAAAAAAAAGGGAAAGATCTGGGAACGATAGTCAGACACCCTTCAGCTGCCTCGAGCCTGTCACAGACAATTCTTCTCCTCTACATCATCCTCAGGAGCTCCTGCATGGAGTGAAGAAGACGCAGTGCGTTGTTCCAGCACTCACAGGCACTGCTCACAGAATGACATCCGCCGGCCACTGCCAACACCATCCAGCAGTCCACAGCCTCTCGTGGAACCCAGCTCCTGCTGTACCTCCACTGCTCCCCATCCTCAGTCACTGGCTGCCACCATATCACTTCTGCAAGGGGGGCGCCACCACTCCCCCTGAAAAATGCCACCCAAGGCAAACGCCTTGTGTGCCATGCAGCAAATATGCCCCTGGTCTCACCACCGAGTCTCCAGGCTCAATATCCAGAGGGAATGGGGGAGCGATACCTCCTCCCTAGCTACCAGGGAAGAACGAGAAACCAAGGTGGTTTTCAAGGGTGCAAGGGTCTTTAAATGGCTCCTAGGGGGTTACAGAAGCTCTTTTGTCCTAATATTTGTTTTTGTGCCAAAAACTTCCTCTCCTGAACCTCGTTTTTTGACATTTTTTTCACAGAAAGTATAAAACAGATTTTTTTTTTTTTTAATTTTTTTCGTTTCTTGACTATCATTGTTGAGTTTACAACTCTGCCCATTGGGTGGTCCCAGGGAATGTGGTGAAGGGTTGTCACTTTATTTGTTTTTAACAGTAGGCTAGGATTTGGGGGGGGACACAATCATGTGAATGAAGACATTTTCGGTGCATTATTGTTTTTTTTTGTGTGTGATTGAGTTTTTTGTGGGACACGATACATTGTGTCTTCCATTTACTGTCTCGGAGTTGAGGTGGTTCGCCCTGTTCTTGGTGCTCTCCTTTCCCTTCTCCTTCCTTTTCATGGTTTTTTCTCTGTGAGATTTTTTGGGGGGGGGGGGGATCTTTTTGTGTTTGGGGCTGATGTTGCCCAAGGAGCTGTTTACCTCCCAAAATATACAAATTTAAATACAAAAATTAAAATGAAAAAAAAAAAAAAAGCACTAAATAAAAAGTAGATTTTTTTTTCCAGGTTTCTTTTCCGTTTTGCTTAAGCAGCTCATTGAGCAAAACTGAGAGTTTCCGCTTCAGCAAAATTTCAATGGCCACTAAATTGGTAATTTCCCAATTAAATCAATTTAGCCAAAATCACTCGGCTCATCCCTATTTCCCGCTCTCCAAATAACAAGCTTGACGGAGCATTTTAATGCTCAACTGAACCTTCAGTTTAAATCAGCTAAATACAGTCCAGGTGCATCAACACAAAAGATGTGCAAAGTCTTAAAATTTTATTTAACCCCCTGGTGCCGGCGCCTCCCGGCCCTTTAAGGGTTTCAGAAGTCGGGAGGCAGGGCGGGGTTTTAGGGTCATGTGACCGCCATGATTCGCTGTCACGGCGGTCACATGATTGCCAGTACTCACGAAAAGGTCCCGATCTCCTCTTTTGATCGGGACCTTTTCGTGAGTACTGGACATGTGTGCTGGGAGCGGGCAGGGCGCGCGCTCTCAGCACATATGTTTTTCTTAATTGCATGCAAATGTGCGGCCGCTCGGCGTCAAGACCCAGATGCCGTGAGGCCGCACATTTGCGTGTGGCCGGCGCCAAAGAGGTTAAAATGTGGCACTGCCTGTGTAGAAAAGTCTGTCCCCTGCCAGCATGCTGTAGAAAAAGGCCTTTGCTCTCTGTATGAAAGCAGAAGTCTCTCTGCAGAGATCCAACATGCCCCTCAGCTGAGTCAGAGCTAGAGATCTCCAATCAGAAGGAAGCATGAGTTTTGCAGATTGCAGAATTAGAGGTCTGATTCAGCAGCAGGGGCGGACTGACCATTTGGAAACTGCCCGAGGGCCCGGGGTCAGTAGGGGGCCCCATGAGATGCCCCTGGTACCTTTTCCATAGGCTTTTTTGAGTTTGGGCAAGGACACAGGGGCCCCATGATCCCCTATTGCCCGGGGGCCCCATGAGTTGTCAGTCCGCCCCTGTTCAGCAGTGAGTGACCACTGCAGAGAGGCTACTGCTTCTAAGCAGAGAGCAAGATTCCTTCTGTGCAACGTGCTGACTTTTTATGACTTTTCTTTTGCTGTCTGTGAGATGTTGTCTTTTATGGTGACAGATGTTTAAAGAGACAAAGAGTGGAAAACCTGCAATGGATGCAGGGGCAACATTAACCCCTTCAATCCGGCCTCCCGGCCCTTTAAGAGTTTCAGAAGCCGGGAGGTGGGGCGGGGTTGAGGGTCATGTGACCACCGTCACGGCGGTCACATGATTGGGAAAGGTCCCGATCGAAAGAGGAGATCGGAACCTTTCCGTGAGTACCGGACATGTGTTCTGGGAGCGGGTAGGGAGCGCGCTCTCGGCACATATGTCCTTTTTCAATAGAACGCAAATGTGCGGCCCCTCTGCGTCTAGGCCCAGAGGCAAGGAGGCCACACATTTCCGTTCGGCCGGCGTGAAGAACACATCGAAAATGTTTGAATCTCTTTATCAGTTTTTTTTTTTACTATCTGTGTGTTTATTTTTTTTTTTCTGGCGTCACAAGGATAAAAAGGGACAAAAAAGTAAGGAGAAAACAGGCTATGAACCCTGCTCTGGTCTTGATGTTTCTAGACCATGGGTGTCAGACTGGTGGCCCTCCAGCTATTGCCAAACTACAAGTCCCATGAGGCATTGCAAGACTGGCAGTTACAAGCATGACTCCCAAAGGCAGAGGCATAATGGGACGTGTAGTTTTGCAACAGCTGGAGGGCCGCCAGTTTGACACCCCTGCCCTAGACCACTAGAGCATGGAGGCACAGAAGCTATGGGGACCAGTCTAGATGCGGAGAGGAGCGGGTAAGTATATTTCCTTTTATTGTTGCTATAGACGTAAATGAGCACTTGACCCTTCCAGTGTGGGCACAGTGCCACTGCCAGGGATAAAGGTTTACGTGCTCAGGGTTGGACTTTAACATGACAAAAATGCTAAGCCACCCATTCTCAACCAGGATTCTGTGCAACCCCAGGGTTCTTCAAAATGCTATCAGGGGTTGCTTGGGTTGTGACTGATTGACCTCCTATATGATGGTGCCTGCATAGTTCCAGGGCCAACACCACCTGACAAAGCCAGCATAAAGCAGGAAGTGGACATCCATGCTGTAGGCAATGTGGAAGGATTGCTGGAAACAGACCCTAATCCTGCACCTCTTAAGTCTTAACAGCCAAGTTGGCAAACCCAGCAACTGCAAAGCAGAGCGGAAGAGCGGAGCTAAGGAGTAAGGATCTTGGCGGAGCGGAAGGCGCCGTGAAGCAGAAATGATCAACTGATAAGTGTCCGTGAGCCAAGCCTTCCGAGGTCAGTCCATATCCACAAGGACAAGCGGAATGCCCTCCCACTCAAACTTGGTAGCAACCGAGGATGGACCTACAGGGGAGGAAGGGCATATATCAGGGAGTACTCAAGACCCCAAGCAACTGGAGCCTCCGATGTATCTGCCCTTAATCTGGCCACAACCCTGGGAAGTTACTGACTGGGTCTGGATAGAGGAAATCGACATGCAGGTTGCCCCAATGGCAACAATCTAGAGAAGCCCTTCAGGGTGCAGAGACCAATCCTCTAGATCTGAATCCTGAGTTGCAGATGGGGGGTTGCAATAATCTGTTTTGGCTGTATTTAAGGGTGGCATTCTTCCTGATAACCACCAATGTAAGGGACATTCTTCCCACTGACCCCCAATGTAAGGGACATTCTTCCCACTGACCACCAATGTAAGGGACATTCTTCCCACTGACCCCCAATTTAAGGGACATTCTTCCCACTGACCCCCAATGTAAGGGACATTCTTACCACTGATCACCAATGTAAGGGACATTCTTCCCACTGACAACAAATGTAAGGAGCATTCTTCCCACTGACCACCAACATCAGGGACATTCTTCCCACTGACCACCAATGTAAGGGACATTCTTCCCACTGACCCCCAATGTAAGGGACATTCTTCCCACTGACCCCCAATCTAAGGGACATTCTTCGCACTGACCCCCCCAATGTAAGGGACATTCTTCCCACTGACCCCCAATGTAAGGAACATTCTTCCCACTGACCACCAATGTAAGGGACATTCTTCCCACTGATCCCCAATGTAAGGGACATTCTTCCCACTGACCCCCAATGTAAGGGACGTTCTTCCCACTGACCACCAATGTAAGGGACATTCTTCCCACTGATCCCCAATGTAAGGGACATTCTTCCCACTGATCACCAATGTAAGGGACATTCTTCCCACTGACCCCCAATGTAAGGGACATTCTTCCCACTGATCACCAATGTAAGGGACATTCTTCCCACTGACCACCAATGTAAGGGACATTCTTCCCACTGACCACCAATGTAAGGGACATTCTTCCCACTGACCCCCAATGTAAGGGACATTCTTCCCACTGACCCCCCCAATGTAAGGGACATTCTTCCCACTGACCCCCAATGTAAGGGACATTCTTCCCACTGACCCCCAATGTAAGGGACATTCCTCCCACTGACCCCCAATGTAAGGGACATTCTTCCCACTGACCCCCAATGTAAGGGAAATTCTTCCCACTGATCACCAATGTAAGGGACATTCTTCCCACTGACCCCCAATGTAAGGGACATTCTTCCCACTGACCCCCAATGTAAGGGACATTCTTCCCACTGACCTCCAATGTAAGGGACATTCTTCCCACTGACCCCCAATGTAAGGGAAATTCTTCCCACTGATCACCAATGTAAGGGACATTCTTCCCACTGACCACCAATGTAAGGGACATTCTTCCCACTGACCCCCAATGTAAGGGACATTCTTCCCACTGACCCCCAATGTAAGGGACATTCTTCCCACTGACCCCCAATGTAAGGGACATTCTTCCCACTGACCCCCAATGTAAGGGACATTCCTCCCACTGACCCCCAATGTAATGGACATTCCTCCCACTGACCCCCAATGTATGTGACATATTTCCCACTGACCCCCAATGTATGTGACATATTTCCCATTGGACCACAATGAATTGGTTTCAGCAGGGGTTCCTTGAGACTTCAAAATGATTTTCGGGGTTCCTGTGGGGTAAAGAGGTTGAGAAAGCCTGTGCTAACCTGTTGTGGAGGACAAACCAACCCATAAATGAAGCGGAGATTCAGACTTGCGACCTTCTGGTCCTAGCATTGAATTCTGCGTCTGAACCCTTCCCGCGCTCCAGCGTCATTCTCTCCTCCGTCGTACGATTGGTTTGTTATATTTCAGCCGCATTAGTATTCTTGTAGTCTAAGCGCTTGAAATGACTACAATATGTTTTCTCGGCACACTGGCATATTTATTCCTATGTTGTGTTTATTCGCTCTCTCCAAATCACAGCAAAAAAAAAAAAAAGATAAGTCGGAATTTTTCATCTGACAACGCATTTCGAGGAAAACTAATTGTATTTTCATTAACCTGCATAAACAACGAGGAAAGATCAAAGACAACAAATTAGCTTTGTGCTTTCCTAAACAAATACATTTGAAACGCGGTGAGAAATGAATTTCTTTGTTGTCTCCGCGCGGCGGCCCCGGGCTTTACCGCCGAAACGCAAGCTTGCCGAGATAGCATCGCAATTTCCCTGCCACTTCAAGGAATGTAAATGGCAAGACGGCAGCTTAACGCACCTCTGACAAGTCCCCCTACTTTACTTGCAAATCGGAGGCAGCTTTTAGGAAAATGGATGCCGCGGAGATTCTGCTTAACAGACATTGCGAGAGATAATGAGGTCTGCTTCGCAAAACAGATGTATACTGCATCTCTTATCGGCGGAATCTATCATCAGGAAAACAAACAGCGGGGGAGGGGGGTTACACTTCTGCATTGCGCGTCACACTATACTACTGGGATCTAAAAAGGAAACGTGGACTGCAGAGGATCACATCACGCCCTTATATTTGATCTTCCTTTATATAGAATTTGCCAGGCTAACTCCAAGCAAATCAAGGACATACGCTGTCAGGACCCGGATCACCTGCTGGTGGCACTGTGCTTCCCAAAGCTGAAGGTTGTAGTTCCAGTGTCCACCAGCGGGTGTCCCTTCAGTACTCAGTAGACTCGTGCAGAAAGGGGAAAAAAAACCTCGTTTTGCTGCGTTTCGGATTGATTCGTTAAGATTAGAATTTTGTTTTGTTGCATTCGGAAGGAAATTTGTTTCGTTTTAGTTTAGTTTCGGTTATTCGTTTTCGACCAAATTACATTTTTTTTCCCCAAAGGATTCAAAGTATTCGAATCTAATCGAATTTTAATGGAATTCCAATTGAATTGATCCAAATTCATTGTGCAGAATAGCTGGTTGTATTCTATTCCAAATCGGAATTTCGGAAGACGGCCATGCAGTTTTCATTCTATTCTATTTTGTTTTATTCTATTCATTTCTTTTCCGTTCTATTTTATTCTGTTCTATTCTTTTTGAAATTGTAATTTTGGAAGACAGCTATATTCTTTCTATTCTATTTTATTCTGTTCTGCTCTTTCCTTTTCTATTCCATTTTATTTATTTATTATAGGTACTTATATAGTGCCATCAATTTACGCAGCACTTTACATATCTATAGTACATTCACATCGGTCCCTAACCCTCAAGGGGCGTACAACCTAAGGTCCCTAACTTACATACATACATACACCAGGGGTGGACTGACAACTCATGTGGCCCCCGGGCAATAGGGGATCATGGGGCCCTTGTGTCCTTGCCCACACCCAAAAAAGCCTATGAAAAAGCCAATAAAAGGTACCAGGGGCATCTCATGAGGCCCCCTACTGACCCCGGGCCCTCGGGCAGTGCCTCTCAATTGTCATCTGAAAGCTGAAGCCAACTGCCCCGCCCCTCTCCAGCCTCCAAGTCTTCAAGCCTGGGAACTCATTGTGGGAGTCCTTGATATAAGAAACCCCCAGCTGGCTAACTCTCCTGCATTTACCCAAAAAAAAGTTTTTGGTGGGCTGATGGGGCAGAGCTGCTCCAGGCTCTGGAAGGATCCCTACAATATTGTCGTGAGCCACCTGTCTGCCTGATTAACAGTTGGCTCTGCCTCCCAGTTCATGGCTGGGAGCTGAAGCCAACTGTGCCCACCACCTCTCCAGTCACCAAGTCTTCAACATTACATGGTCCACCATGTCCCAGCTTCTTCTGTCACAGTCCCAATGTCTAAAATACATAGAACACCCAATTGGAAAGAGCGGGAACCCTTCATAACCACAGCAGGTGTGCAAACCTGGGAACTCGTTGTGGGAGTCCTTGATGTAAGAACCTGACAGCTGGTTTAACTCTCCTTCATTTACCAAACAAATACCTGAAATGGAAGTTTTGGGTGGGCTGATGGGGCAGAGCTGCTCCAAGCTCCGGAAGGATCCCTACAATATTGTTGGGATACACCTGGCTGCCTGATTGACAGCTGGCTCTGCCTCTCAGTTCTCATCTGAAAGCTGGAGTCAGCTGCCCCGTCCCTCTCAGTTCTCATCTGAAAGCTGGAGTCAGCTGCCCCGTCCCTCTCCAGCCTCCAAGTCTTCAAACCTGGGAACTCATTGTGGGAGTCCTTGATGTAAGAAACCACCAGCTGGCTAACTCTTCTGTATTTGCCAAAAACAACCTCATAAAAATATAAGTTTTGGGTGGTTGGCTGATGGGGCAGAGCTGCTCCGGCTCTAGAAGGATCCCTACAATATTGTCGTGATCCACCTGGCTGCCTGATTGACAGCTGGCTCTGCCTCTCAATTCTCATCTGAAAGCTGGAGCCAACTGCCCCTCCCCTCTCCAGCCTCCAAGTCTTCAAGCCTGGGAACTCATTGCCGGAGTCCTTGATATAAGAAACCCCCAGCTGGCTAACTCTCCTGCATTTACCAAAAAAAAAGTTTTTGGTGGGCTGATGGGGCAGAGCTACTCCAGGCTCTGGAAGGATCCCTACAATATTGTCGTGAGCCACCTGTCTGCCTGATTAACAGTTGGCTCTGCCTCCCAGTTCATGGCTGGGAGCTGGAGCCAACTGTGCCCACCACCTCTCCAGTCTCCAAGTCTTCAACATTACATGGTCCACCATGTCCCAGCTTCTTCTGTCACAGTCCCCAAAGTCAAAAATACATAAAACACCCAATAGGACGACTGGGAACCCTTCATAATACCCACAGCAGGTGTGCAAACCTGGGAACCCATTGCGGGAGTCCTTGATGTAGGAACCGCCAGCTGGTTTAACTCTTCTTCATTTACCAAACAAATACCTGAAATGGAAGTTTTGGGTGGGCTGATGGGGCAGAGCTGCTCCAAGCTCTAGAAGGATCCCTACAATATTGTTGGGATACACCTAGCTGCCTGATTGACAGCTGGCTCTGCCTCTCAGATCTCATCTGAAAGCTGCAGCCAGCTGGCCCGCCCCTCTCCAGCCTCCAAGTCTTCAAACCTGGGAACTCATTGTGGGAGTTCTTGATGTAAGAAACCACCAGCTGGCTAACTCTTCTGCATTTGCCAAAAAAAAAACCTTATAAAAATATAAGTTTTGGGTTGGCTGATGGTTCTAGAGCTGCTCCTGGCTCTGAAGGATCCCTACTATATTGTTGGGATACACCTGGCTGCCTGATTGACAGCTGGCTCTGCCTCTCAAATTCTCATCTGAAAGCTGGAGCCAACTGCCCCTCCCCTCCAGCCTCCAAGTCTTCAAGCCTGGGAACTCATTGTGGGAGTCCTTGATATAAAAAAACCCCCAGCTGGCTAACTCTCCTGCATTTACCAAAAAAAAGTTTTTGGTGGGCTGATGGGGCAGAGCTGCTCCAGGCTCTGGAAGGATCCCTACATTATTGTCGTGAGCCACCTATCTGCCTGATTAACAGTTGGCTCTGCCTCCCAGTTCATGGCTGGGAGCTGGAGCCAACTGTGCCCACCACCTCTCCAGTCTCCAAGTCTTCAACATTACATGGTCCGCCATGTCCCAGCTTCTTCTGTCACAGTCCCCAAAGTCTAAAATACATAAAACACCCAATAGGAAGAGTGGGATCCCTTCGTAATAACCACAGCAGGTGTGCAAACCTGGGGAACTCATTGCGGGAGTCCTTGATGTAGGAACCGCCAGCTGGTTTAACTCTCCATTTACCAAACAAATACCTGAAATGGGAGTTTTGGGTGGGCTGATGGGGCAGAGCCGCTCCAAGCTCTGGAAGGATCCCTACAATATTGTCGTGAGCCACCTGTCTGCCTGATTAACAGTTGGCTCTGCCTCCCAGTTCATGGCTGGGTGCTGGAGCCAACTGTGCCCACCACCTCTCCAGTCTCCAAGTCTTCAACATTACATGGTCCGCCATGTCCCAGCTTCTTCTGTCACAGTCCCCAAAGTCTAAAATACATAAAACACCCAATAGGAAGATCGGGAACCCTTCATAATAACCACAGCAGGTGTGCAAACCTGGGAACTCATTGCGGGAGTCCTTGATGTAGGATACCGCCAGCTGGCTAACTCTCCTGCATTTACCAAAAAAACCCCAAAATATAAGTTCTGGGTGGGCTGACCCTTTAAATCTGGAAAATAAACCGACTTCTCTCTACGACTTGATATATGTGGTTTATGCTCCAGCTGACCCTCCAGTACAAAAACAAGTTACACACTGCAAAGAAAAAAAAAAAAGAAATCCCATTTTTTTTTTATCAATTTCTTTTCATATATCACCGGGAGTGCTCTGTGTAATAGAATTTACAGCCAACAAAACCCCCCTGACCCCGGCAACGGCTAATACAATTTCCTGTCCAAGAGATACCAGGCGGCCCCGCGCGGCTCTCTCATCAGCACCGAGCATCCCCTGACATTTAAAATATGTGTTGTCATTTTAATTCAGACCTGACTGAGATTCAGTGGGGCCCCTGAAAAAAAAAATAAAAGCGCGCCATAGACACCGCCGGCTCTCGGATGCCGAGGACGCTTTATATCTTCGGAGA